CGAGTGTCGATGTGTGCTTCGCTCCGAGTGCCTCCTCCTTGCCTTGCAGCGCCCGATCGTACATGGCCTCCGCCTCCGCCAGCCTGCCTTAGTCCGCGTAGAGCAAGCCTAGGTTGTTCAGCGCCCATTCTATTCCCTTAGTACTCACGCTGCCATTTATGATGAATTCTCTGTATCTTGCAGCATGTTAAAGAAGCTGTTGCTGCAGGAGCCACCACTTGTCTACATCCTTGCTAGGAACTTCTAATGCCACACAAGTAAGAGCTAGCCGCACCAGGCCGTTGTCCCACTCGTCGTTCAAGACAGACATCGTCCATGAGTGCACACAGCTATGCACTCCATACCCTGCGGACCTAGACGGTTGTCCAAGTGACAGTTCTAGATGAGCTAGACCATACTCGCATAGCAGTCAAACTGCCTTGTTAAAGTTCAGTTTGTCCTTAGTAAGCTTCTGTATCCACTTATTATCTGTATCGCATGCACGCTAAAGAAGTCTAAACCACACGTCTTACTTATTAAAATAGGCCCATAGCTTAAGCAACTAGACTAATGCCGCATTTTCTTTTTGTATCTAATTAAAAGTAACCTGCCATGTCGTGTATAGCAATTAGTCTTTGTATGAACTTAACATTAGACTTGTCCTCTAGAGCTTTAGCCACAATGCCTTATACAGCTAAAGATACTCAGCAAAGCTGGTGGTCACGTGCTCAAGGTAAGCCCTAGCTATAGAGAGAGCAAGAGGCAGACTATCTAGCTTTAAGACAAGCGCTCTTGCGTTAGCATCTGTCTTGTTAGTTCTAAACACTTTATTAGATACACATACAACATACTGTTTTCTATACCCTTCCTTCTAGACATGTTCGCCAAGATCTTTAGCCTGTCATCCAAGCCTACTAACTTCTGAACGTAGAGACGCTCACCTTAGGTAACGCGCGCTAAGCGCGTTGTGATAATAATCAAGCCCTAGTTACTTTCTGGCAGATATCGACGTATATCCACCGTCAAAGGATTGGAACTACCAGAAATTCAGGGGTTGTTGTAATTGTCGTAGACCATTAGCTAATGTGCATTTCCCAGGAGATCAAGCCAGGCCTTAACTGCACTAGCCACTTAATCAAGGTCTCCTTCCAAGTCTACGCTACTGAGCACTCCGGCCGAGGGGTGACACTGCAAGACTTGCTGCGCGATGCCGCGAAAGCTAAGCCGGAGGGAATCTTCGTCATTCGCGTTTAGCCAGAACATCGCTGTGTACTTCTCTTTGTGCTGTCTAACGTATTTAACTGCCAGCTAAGTTTTTCCAATCCCTCCCAGCCCATGAAGGACAACAGCTGCTCGGCTGCTGCGACTGTAAAGCAGCTTATGCATCTTTAACAGCTCCTTTTCTCTAGCCATAAACTATGCAGCTTCAGGAAACAAGCTAAGGTTAAACCTAACAGTGTATTGTTCAAAGTTTATACCTATACTAGTTAGCGCCGTCGCTTTGTTCTGTACATCTGTGCAGAAGTCTACCTTTGTACAAGGTGTGGATTTCCTTCTCCAGCTGTCTAAATGCGTGGTCTCTTCCCTCTCCATAGTTAAGCACCATTGCGACACCGCAGATGCCAATTATATAGTACGCCCCGTCCTCTTCAATTGTGGTTTCACGGCGCTTGGCCCAGGACCCCTGTTCTGCAATGCTGAAATTCAACAGCGCATCCCCTTAGAGAGCTCTCTCTAGGATGCTGGTAGCCTCTTATATCTCAGCCGCAAGCGACAACTTGCTCCTAAGTCTCTGCCTCTCTGCGCTGAAGAAGTTAACCAGCCTTAGTGCAATAAGCTCTTAAAGCGTCTAGCCCTAGGTAAACTATCAGCTTATCTGGAGGGCCTCTTTCCACGCTCTTTCGCTGTCAGCTCCCTCCGGTTTAGAGACATCCGAGAGGTAGACGTAGCACTGTGCGGCGTTCTGGTACCACCGAAACATAGAGTTGATCGCCGCGCCGAGCTCAACCGCATTCTTCTTGTCGATGCAGCACGTGTCTACCCAGAAGTACTGTAGCCCATCAGCTGCGGCCTGGTCTGCGCAGAACCGTATCTTCCTCCATCCAGCCTTGCTAGTAGTCTTGCTCCTGTCTGCATTCACTTCTATGTCCTAGAAGATAATCTCCTCCTTTTCCCATGTGTGGGAGAGTATCGCGTAGGCAGGTACAGGGCCGCTCGTGGGTTCGCAAAGGATGACAGTGCCGTCGGGTCTACGCTGCAGGAGGCGTATGAGGGCCATGGCTGATGCACGATCTCATGCCACGCGCGACTCGTGCGGCTCGTTCGGCATGTCGGCGCGCGGTGTTCGAGGATCGACAGTATGGAGACAGACGTCGGAGGACCGATCGTGAGGTGGTGGTGCGGTGGTTGTCGTAGGCGCTGCCCGCAAGGCTGCATCGTGGCGCAGGGTGGCCGGTGAAGGGGCGCTCACGTTGTCTGGATGTCATTGGAACTCGGGTGCGGATCGATCGCTTTAACGTATAGGAAACCTTTAGCTCTCACACAGCTGTCTCTAGACGGTGGGAGAGCAATTGTGCTACAAGGTTTAGCAGTTGCGCGCATTAAATAGGTTAGCCATGACAACAAAAGCGCGAAATCTCCACCCACTAATATAACTTACTATCGCTGTCGGGGCAGGGTGGCGCTTTGCCACAGATACACTAGCCACAGTCTTGGCTTATTGGCTGCTGAGGCTTGTATTACACTGTAATTATTATGTGAGCGTGCAGGTCGCGACTTAGGATGACCAGGTCACCATGCTCGCTTAGAAGCAGAAGTACCGATCGCCGTGGCGACCCTGCATGAATCATCCCGACATTGCCGCCATAGGGCTACCGGTGACTGGATAGTGTGATTGGAAGGCTCTAAAGCTAGATTGCCGTTGAATTGTGACTATTGAAAGCTCCTAATGCCTGGCGCTGAATCCGCAGCGGGGTTGCTCTGGCATGTCGCAAGATCAGGCACCCTTGTTCTCGGCGCGACGTTGACAACAAGGCTGGTAATTTTTCTGGGAGTAGCAGGTAGAAGGTAGAGGAAGACTGAGAGCATCAAGCGCATGTATTATTATGTAGAAAACTTGATGTGGGAAGATTCCATTCCTTTTTGAAGTTAATTTTTCTCGCTACGGTTTGGTTCTCGCTACGTAGTGGGGGATGTTACACGTTATTCTTTTAACTTGAGGTTTTAAGTAGTTATAAGTGCAACTTTAAATTAGGCATTTAATAGATAAAAGAATTGTTACACTGAGTGTAAAATAGTCTAGGAAGAGCAACTAATAAAAAGTTTTAATTAATTAAGTTAACTACAGTAAGGTTAGAAACAAAAGATGATCTTTCTAACCTCGCTTCCTAAACATAGTTAATCCATTAATAAAACATGAGCCTAACATTTAGTATAGACAGCAAGCTAACTATTGTGGAGTATATCCCGCTCCAAAAGTTCGGCAAAATGCTTCTGTTGATTGAGGATGGTTGGGGCGGAGGCTGCAGGGCAGCCCACGCCGCGCGTGCCGTTAAAGCTCTGCAAGACAATTAGGCACGTTGTAGCATAATTAAATTTGTCTTTGTCTAATTAAGCAAGAGGATTAACATTAAAGGTAACTAGAGTCCCTAAGAGATTTCCTAAAGCAACAGCTAAGTTTACCTTTTTAATAAATTCCTTGCAGTTAAGTAGACAAAAGCATAAGATTAAGATGTTATTAGCGCTAGCACAGCTACTACTTCTATTAGGGTCTTAACTAGCTGTTAAGCTAAAGTCTAGAACTAGGCTTAGATCTATAGACACAGTAGGTATTACAGAAGCAGAGGTGATTGCCACTAGAAAAGCAAGAATAGTAGAAGAGCGCATTTTTAATTAGTGTGATGTAGCCTTAGAAAAGTTAGGAATAAAATATTCTTATACTTAAACTAACCCTTTCTAAAAGTAGTGAGGACTAAAGAGGCCCACTGAAGCATAGTACAGATCTCTATACTACTGTGGGCTCTGTTTTGGTACCTGTTGGGAACTGTTTAGTCCTGATCTAACTCACGCGGCCGCATTAATCATAAGGCGTGGACAAGTGACGGCTAAACAGTTGGCTGCTAGAAATAGCTAGTGTAAGAACGGGCTTAAAATGTACGTTAGCTGAGTATACCTACAGTAATAAATTTATTGCTTATTAGCGCTAACTTAAATAGTTCTTAGGCGAGTCTCGCACAGTTCTAAAATGGGTCTGGCAACGTTAACTTACTATGTAATTTAGGCGTATACAGTGATGTTATTCTGTGTGCTTAAATTAGTTCTTAGTAAATTACCCTTTAATGTGCAGAAACGTGTTTTTACTTTAACTATTAAGCTTATGTTGCTTGAAATGACGCATCTAGCTGTGACAAGCCTGCCACTTAAGTAAGAACCTACAGCAAACGCTATTAATGTCCTCTAAATAATATATCTACTGTACCCTCTTCTCTATTGCATTCTAAGACAAAAATGTTGTCCTGAAGTTACTGCCGTGCCACAGGAAAGGCCGGCGTATAGCGCCTAGATCTCAGGAGCTTAATCAAGTTTTAGAGAAGCAGCTGTGATATATTTTTGTAAAAGGCCATATCTTTAGGAACTAATTAGGCAAGCATCTAAGCTAAGTAATCCAACTAAAAGAAAACACAAGGAGGGGGCTTTGCTCAATTATCTACCCGATATGATCGCCCATTGCGTAGCAGGTTTACTTGAGGCACCTAAAGAGTACTCTCCGCGTTTGAACGCATCATCTTCCTTTCTATAGCGAATCCTCTTGAAATGTCTGTAGAAAGGTTTAAAGCCTTATAATGTGGACAGTTGTGGCAGATAATGTTGTAGTAAACAATTTTGTGCAGCTGCTCTAACATTTGTTCTAAGGACTGAACCATCTCTTTATCCGCAATAACATTCAGCTCTATCATAAGAATCACATGTCAGACGCAGGGAAACACTTCCACTGCATGCTGTATAGATTCTACAACGTCTAAGCGCTTACACAGAGAATATTCTTTATCTAAATCAGCGTTTACCAACCATCTTAAAGTTACTCACTTACCCTAGGGTAGCACACGAAAATTATCCTGGATTCAAACAGAGAGAGAGCGTGCTGCCTTTTTTTGCTGCCCTAGCACACTTCTTATTACTATGTCAATGCTTGTCTTGTCTAGATTAACCTCTAAAGCAACCTAAGTATAGTAAAAAATCTCTTCTTTAAGCTCATTACTCATCTAACTGCACACAAGAAGCGCTGAATAGCCATAGTTTAGAACAATGCATCTGTATTCATCATTGTCGCAGGCGTCTAAAAGCTGTTAGTAGATCGTGTTTCTTAGCTCGCGTGGGATACCCAGTAGGTGAGCTTGCGGGTAAGGTTAGTCTTCATCTGTGGCCTTAATCATGATTATTCCGCATTTAATGATTGATCTTTACTAGAGCTGAAATACCAGTGTTACAAGGTCTTGGCGCGTATGCGCGCTTACCCGCTCCTTATTTTCGGGTCTGCCGAAGATGCAGCCACAACTACACAGCCACATATCCGGACATAAAGAGCCCCACAGCTTAGGGAAGGTAAGCATAGTGTATACATTAATACAATACAGCATGCTAAGAACTATTCTAATTATAAGCTAAGTCTCTATAAAGAGCCCCTCTTGTAGCGCTTGCAGCTCCTGCACAGTAGATTTTAATCCTTAGGATTAAGCGTTAAAGACTCCCTTTAAATACCTAGCAACAGACAGATTTTCCTTAGATTTATCTTGTAGGCTTTAGTTTACTTCTTTTAGACGCTCTAGTTCTCTTTCTGCGTGCTGTTAGCGTTCTAGTTTAGCTAATAACTATGTTCTTATTTCCTCTATTATGTAACTTAACAGGGCGTTCTCTTCTTATAGCTAATTAATTAGAGCACTAAAACTAACGTCTGTTTTGCTAACAGTTAACGCTACAGCGCTGTCTAACATACTTAAGGAGTTAGCAGAGCTTCCTTATTTTGCTAGAATAGCTTTAAAAGTCTTTCTAACACTATTACATAGCTCTTTATATGCGTTAATAGAATAATTACTTATGTTTTTTAAGAACAAGTGTTTTTTCTTAGGGAGAAATCTCTAAGCGTACAGATTGTCTAGGCTTAGAAGAAGATAAACCTTAGCTAGCTTTATAATAATACTAATTCTACTTTCTAGAACTTATTAGCTTCCCTAAATACAAGAACTAGTTTGTATTATGTATATATGTTAACAATTCTTTATAGCACTTTGTTCTCTACTCTTGTTGTTCTATATTACTTACGTGAATTAAAGCTATAGATTAATAGAGAATGTAGATTCCTAGAGATAATTTGCACTATTTCCTTCTTAAAATCTGCGCTATCTCCCTGTAGTTGTTTAGAGTACTAAAATAGCCTTTTACTATTATTAGGAATGTTTAAGCGCTTAGCTGTGACTAGCTGTAAGATGTCTATATATAAAATAAGACTAGTTTTAGTTATTACCTCTAAGCTAGAAAATAAAGGCTCCTATTACACTAGAAGAAGGTTAGATGTAAATTAGTAATGTTATCTAAGATTCTAACATTACTTTATTTAGTATCTATTAGTATTGCTAGGTAGTAGTCTCTTTAATAAGTAAGGTTAAAACCTAGCTAGGCTAAGCTGCTCTAGACAGTCGCCACGCGCTGCTACCTAAGCAGCTGTTAGCATAATCCTAGTTAAATTATTGCACAGATTTATTAACAACGCTACATATTCTAATAAAATAGACTGTTTTAGTCCCCCCTGCAGTTCCCTTTTTAAACCCCTATGCCTTACTTATTTATATAATAGAGGCTTAACTAGGCAAAAATTTTTTATTTTTTATTTACTATTTAGTCTTAAGTTATAGACTCTCTTTTAAATATTACAAAGCAAGACACTGCACTTATGTCTTACTAATAGGCTAAAAAAGATAAAAGTAGAAAGGCTAGATTATATTAAAAGTATCTAAAGTACTAAAAGCTCTTTATAAAATTACTAAACAATAAATTATTCTTGTTTAAGCAAATTAATTTCTTATTATAGCCTAAGCTAGTTAAGTTTAGATTCTATATCTTAAACTACAGTAACAAGCATATAGAATTACTTACAAAAATCCTTTATACTTTACTGCTAGAAGACGCGATTAAGGCATTTAGGCATATATAATAAATTACTACCTGTCTTACAATTATAAAAAATCTTACGCCTACATCTAAAAAACTTATTATAGAAAAGTT